CAGGCTGGCTGGCTTTCCTGCCGGGAACCAGCCTGGCAAGCCAGTTCGGCAGCCTGCCCGCGTCCGCTCGAACGCCCTGAGGAAGGTGTCGCCGGTGACGAAACTGCTGACAACCTGGTGTACTCCAACAGGAAAACGATCCTTCAGAAAAATGTTAGCCAACTCAACATCGGAGCGTCTGCGCCCGAATAGCAGCACCCTGTGGAGTGCAAATCTCTCTTGTAATGCAGGATTTTGCTCCAGTTCCCTGCAGAATTTGCTGGGAGAGGTGGACGTCTCTGCTGTGTAGCAGTGCAGCTCCAGCCGTCTCGCTCTGCGAAAAAGCCATACGCACATGCCGGTATCACGGCGATGCTTTAAACCTATGACTCAATGCCTTTGCATATGCTGCCGTGAATTCTAGTTTAGACAAGGGCTGACTGCTTTGGTTATGCATTTCTGCATCTGCTCCAGGTCCTAGGAGATGATGTTCATCTTCGCTCTGCAGTCCTGGTAGGAAGGGGCCAGTAAGCTGGGCCCGGGACATGGCAGACTTCCCCAAGGACAGCCGAGTTTCCTCGCGCTTTGCTAAGGCAGGTTTAGCCGGAGCGGGTGCCGAGCTTGCCTTTTCTCTTCAGCGCTGAGTGCCCTGGGAAAGCGAGCACTTTGAACACACCCTCCCCGTTTTCCAAAGATCCTGAGAAGGTCTTGCCTGGACCTGTGCTCAGTCAGGACCCAGTGTATGAAATGATCAAGTCTTGCTGGGTTTTCTCACTGTTCAGTCTCAGCCACCTGCAAAGCTCACCGGGTTTTGCAGTGCAGGGGTGGCTCCACGTGCTTACCTTTCCAAGGAGATTTCCCCTGGGTTTCCTCAAAGCCTGGCGCTCACATCAGCTTTAGCCCTGTGCATCGAGGACCCCGTGGGTCCTTTTGCTTTCTTAGCACCCACAGAAAAAGAAAATCATCTGGCTATGTACTCCCACCAGGGAGAGCAGCCTATGGCTTAGCTCCTCTGTTTACTGGGTGCTGCTTTTCCCGTTAACAGCAATACCAAGAAGTGCAAAGTCTACACGCAGTGTGAAGGCTCCAACCTCGCCTTGGTTTTGACTTGAAAGTGCACACCTAGGGAAAAGGAAGGACAGTGGTGGCCCTGTGAACTGATGGCTAGAAAAGCTCCTCGGCAGACAGTGTGAAACAGCCAGGAGCCAAGTCTAACTTCCAGCTGCGCCTAGGCCGATGTCTGGAGGCCAGCCAGGAGGCGTGACAGAGTCAGACCAAGCAACCCATGTCCCCCAGAGCTCTGCTCTGTCACCTTACGGGCTGGTGCTGAGACCTGGCTGCACCCGGCCAGTGTGGCCATTGGGGAAGGGCTGGAGCTGGCAGCTCCCCTGGGACTCAGCGGACACCAGGAGGTGAGGGTGTGAGGTGAGCTGAGAACTGGCCCAGAGCGTGGTGGTAAGTGGCACAAAGGCTTGTTGGAGGCCAGTCACTGGTGGTGTACCCCAGGGGTCAATACTGGGTCCGGTCCCATTGGGAAGCAGCTTTTCTGAACAGGAGCTGGGGGTCCTGGTGGACACCAAGCTGAACATGAGCCAGCAATGTGCCCTTGCTGCCAAGAAGGTGAACGGTCTCCTAGGCTCTGCTTTAGCTTTGCCAGTCCAGTCATCTTCATTAACGAGCTGGATGATGGGGCAGGGTGCGTGCTCAGCGGGTCGGCAGATGACATCAAACTGGGAGGAGAGGCTGGTGTTCCACAGTGTTGCACTGCCATGCCGGGGGACCTGGACAGGCTGGAAAATTGGCTGGAAGGAACCTCCTGAAGCTCTCCTGAACAAGGAGGCGTGCAAAGTCCTGCCCTTGGGGAGGAACACCCTCAGGCACCAGTATTCACTGGGGGCCACCCAGCTGGGAAGCAGCATGGCTGAAAAGGAGCTGAGAATCTTGGTGGACACCAGGTTGAAAGTAAGCTGCAAAGAAGACTAGTGGTGTCCTGGGCTCGTTAGGCAAACTGTTGCCAGGAGGTGGAAAGAGGGGATGCTTCCCCTCTGCTCAGCGATGGTGGGGCCACCCTTGGCGTGCTGTGTCCAGTGCTGGGCTCCTCAGTACTGGGGAGAGCCCAGCAAAGGGCCACGAAGGTGAATGAGGGCCTGGAAGGAGGGTGCAAAGAAGAGGGAGCCAGACTCTTCTCAGCGGTGCCCGGCAGAGGTGACAGGGTCTGCGATGGGGCATGCGGGGGTGACGAGGGTGTCAGGGCATGACATGGGTGTAGCAGGGCGCTGCGACGCCGTGATGGGGATCGGAGGAGGCTGGCTGGGGGGCGGGGGGGGGGGGG